ACAATTATAGCTTCCAAAGTTTATAGCACACCAACTATAGCAAACCAATAATAGATACTCTTTTTTTGGTGTGTCGCTTTGGTTATATTTATAGACATGTAGAGAGTTTCTCGAAAATTCAGATTACATAAAAATACTAACACGCTACAGTAGAGTTTACATACACACGTATATCATTGATTCTTACACTTGAGAATCTTCTACAACTTTAGAGAATAGGTGGGAGTTTCGCAATACATATTTAACAGTATAAGTTATGTACATTTGTAAATATAAATTTAATTCAAGCAAACATCGATATTAAAATAAATATATAATAATAAATCTGTCACACATGTGACTTGCCACTGGTATGATCCCTTTCCTACCCTCCACAAGGATGTTGGTTCCAGGTGGCTAGGTTTTAGATGCAGTTGACTTGCCATGTACAGTCCATCGTGCTCCAGCCACTCTACACCTAGAACCATATCTTTTTTTACTCTTACCCACATTACTGTCATCTAAGGGATTGAGATTCAAATATTGGATAGTTTGGATCCCTATCCAACCATTGTTCTCTCTGTTTTGGATGTACTCCTCCCATTTTCCACCCATGTCTGCATCCCCTCTTTCCACACTGGATGAAGAGTGTACCTGATGCAGAAGTGGTGCGGTCTCCCACATATGATCCTCAACTGCATGGATCTCCTCTTTTATGGGGTTCTTCGGATGCTTTCAAAGAATGCTTCTTTCTTTTCTTTGCACTGGTTCCTCCACTTATTCAATGTGGGATTGTAGCTATTTATGTGAGAAGGGTTAACATACCATTTCAGAAATTATAATTTTCCTATACTGAAAATCGATTATTCCGTTGTCTGCCAAAACTTGAAGTGATTATTTGGTAGAATCAAATAGTGGGAGTCACATGCATCAGGAGGATGTGTTGCACTCTTATTGGTGGAGGGTTGTCACATGATGATTTACATGCAAGACACAGTTGAACATGTTGATCATGGGGTACATGAGAGCTCAAGGCTTGTAGCATGCAAAAAAATTTTGTGCATGTAGAGATCAGCACTGAATGAGAATAGCTATTTATGTGAGAGGAGGTAAGTACCTAGCTGAAATACATCTTCAGTATAGGAAAATTATAACTTTGGGTTAGTCCATCAAACAATTAATGTTATAAAAAGAATTGAAATGTAAAGGTATCTTGAAAATCACATTCAACAAAAACACTAAAAATGTATTTGCTCCTTTTCTGTTTGTACTTAATAAAATGTAAAGGAAATAGTGACATATTGATTACTTGTTTTGAGTTTGATCATTAAAAAAACAAACGTTAGCTACAGAAAGGAGCATTAATTTCAATATGTAACTATGCTCTGTACAATTGTATATTTTAATATTTTATGTTCTTTTTTAGAGAAAGATATAAAGTAATTTAAAAATAAGTTGGTTTATGTATTGCCCCTAGTGGTTCAGCAGTAAGTCTGCAAATTTGTGATGCTAAAAACTGGGTTTCGATACCAATGGTGAGCAGAGCACATATAACCCTTTGTGTAGCTTTGTTCTTAACATCAACCAAATTAAACCAAGTTTTTATATCAAAAATATCAATTTTCAAGTTGTTGAAATATTGATATAACATAAATTTTTGTATTTGTATTGCTCACTGTTCAGGATATCATAAGTATATAGTAATAATTTTCAATCAGCTTTAGTTATTGTAATCAAGTATCTTTGTTTTTACCACAGAAATATGTTGTTTGAAGACATTGATTGATTGTACAAGAAATATTTTAAAATTACTTGAAATGTTTTCAATAAAACTAATAATAATAGTTTTTGTATAGACTTCTTAGTAACTAATTTATTTTTTAATCAATTCCTTCGTATGTCTTAAAACTATTAGTAAAATTTTGTAATAACAACTGGGTAAAGAGCAGTTGATACATGTCTACATTTTCTTTGTTTAGGAAGTAGTTTTTTAAATTACGAATTCTTGTTGTTTTCAAGATCACCAAAGTAAAATATGTAGACAGGATTCAGTTTGGGAAATATGAAATTGATGCTTGGTACTTTTCTCCATTTCCTGAGGAATACGACAAACAGCCCAAATTGTGGATTTGTGAATACTGTCTGAAGTATATGCAGTTAGAGAAAACCTACAGGTACCACCAAGTAAGTTGTGTATATGTATACATTCTGTTATAATGTAAAAGTGTGTATTGTTACACAAATTATTGTAATGTATTAAAGGCTCATTGTTTCAGGAAATTATTTTTTAATTAAGCAAGTATAGGTAACACCTGAAAATAATCTGTTGCTTATATAGATTTAAAAACAACTAGTTCAAGATTTTGTAATTGTTATACAGTAACAGTTCAAAAGTATATGTCTAGAGTAAAAATACTATAATGTTTAATATGACTTGACTAACATAATTTTACCATTTTATCTGTCACTTTGATAGGAAATAATCACTTAAAATTTTTTCATTTACACTAATAAGAACCTGCATCTACATTAGTGTTTAGCATTTATCAAAACACCTTTCATTAGGGTAACATCATATGTTTATTTTGGTGTTCTTTCTAGTTACACATTATTTTGATGTTTTATCTCCAGAGTGAATGTACGTGGAGACAGCCTCCTGGAAAAGAGATTTATAGAAAAGGGACCATCTCTGTATGGGAGGTGGATGGAAAAGATCACAAGGTAATAGTAGTCATTCATTGCCATGTTTGTTATGAAAAATTAAGATTTTTTTATGCTTCTTAGTTTTATGCACTATTTTTAAGAAAAGATATTGTTGAATAGAAGTTATTAGTTGTATATCTTGATTCTTGCGGTTTGGACTTCAGAAATTTTTATTAAAAGTATCTAGTCACATTAGTGGATACTTCCAATATCCTAATCTCTGTGATTTCTTGGCAATTACTGTGGATATTGATTCATTGTAATTATGTCTCCTCGGGGAGGCGTACTGTTTTTCTATTGTTTCTTCCTCTTCCAAACACTTTTCAGTCAACTGCCATTCCATCAGTTCTTTGTAACTTGACTTAAAACTATTTTTGATTTAGGCCTTTTTAAAGATTTTATAGGGTCAAAGGTCAAACAACCAAAAATGAATATATTAGGCTCCTGTGAGGTCATCTTTACAGCAATCAAGATAAGAATTGGTACAAATATAAATTTTCATGCACCCAACACACTGACATACAAAAAAAGTTGGATTTGCCCATTTTAAGTTATTAGTAGCAGACCATTTGAATTTTTTTTTTTTTTAAATCTGTATTTGGACAAAATTTCAGCTAATTTCCCCTTCACTTCATGATCCAACAAAAAGAAATAATTTATAGGTCCTACAGATGTCCTTTCTAAAAATACTTTATTTAAAAGATCTTTTATATCCAACAGTGGATTTTACTTGCTTTGTTTTTAATGTTGCATAGCAGGTGGGTTAAATATTTTCAGAAATATTCTAGATTACCATATTACTTTCAATAAGAAGCCAACATTCTTTTACTATTGACAACTAAAATATCTGCTCTGTCAGCTCTATGTGTGCATGCTTCTTTTAGTAAGTTAGAGGGGCAAAATACCTAATAAGAAAATGTATTTTGACAGGCAAGAAAGTTTAATATTATTTCAATATTTTTTAACTATGAACATTTCAGTTTTACTTTGTTGTGTGATATTTTTATAATTTAAGTTTTTTGTTGTGTTCCACATATTACACTTAAGTATTGTTTCTTTTGTTTTTGCACACTAGGTCATTCTGAAAATAGTTATTTCAAAGAATGATAAAGAAGGAAACTAATGTTGTAGTTTTCTTTATTTTTTCAAAGAAATAATTGTGCTTTGAAAATATGTTTAATTGAGTTTCAACTTATTGCTATGAATCTTGTTTGTTTTGCAGTTGTACTGTCAAAATATGTGCCTGTTGGCTAAGCTATTTCTTGACCACAAAACTCTATACTTTGATGTGGAACCTTTCATCTTTTATGTCCTCTGTGAAGTTGATCGACATGGAGCTCACTTTGTTGGTTATTTCTCAAAAGAAAAAGAATCTCCAGATGGTAATAATGTGGCTTGCATCTTAACTCTTCCACCATACCAGAGGAAGGGATATGGAAAGTTCCTGATTGCTTTCAGTAAGTATGGAGACCGATAACAACTAAATTATTTTATTATATGACTGAAAAATAAAACAACTGAAATGCTCAGATTTAGAATTTTGGGTCTAATGTATATGTTATGAATGTTTATTTTAGATAAAGTAATAAATATTCACAATGTCGACACTAAGTTTAACCTCCCTACCCTAATTGAAATTTTTATTTGGAGAATAAAAAATTTATAACTCCTGCATGTGTATGTAAAACTTCTCGACATAGAAAACAAAGCTACCTTTTTGTACATGTTTGTTGCTTATTTCTAGCTCAAATAGTTTAAAAACTTAGTTTTTTTTATGTGGTGATATCAAAATATTAAAATTCAACTGGCTTCATTTTTATTTTACAACTTCTAAGCTTCCAAATCTAACAGACAAAAACATCTCATATGGAAACTCAGATTATTTTTTCCTTAAAATGTATTTGCTGTAGAACTACATTTATTTCTAAACGTCATGTTACTATGACTTCTATTTTTTGTATGCTACATAAAGATAATAATCCTCTTGGTTCTCCTGCTTTCCTTTCAAGTAATCACTAAAGCAGTTCCTTTTCATTTTAAGAAATCCACTAATTTTAATTTGAAACTATAGTCTTATGGTAGACTTTGCCCCAGCATGAACTTGGAATCTAACAGAAATGGTCTTTTTTGAAACAGTTATACATAACTTGTAAAAAGGTAGAAGTAACTTTTATAAATAAAATATTGTAAAGTAAATACTGTTTATAATAATCATAATAATATATAAGATATCTGAGTGTAAAGCTAGAAAGTGTAGAAAATCCTTAGCTACATGACTGGTTTATTGTTATTAAATGACTGAGAACCAAGGTTACATGCCAGTGACTACAAGTGTATTGTATAATGGCATAGCACACTTATATGTCAAGAGTTGTGTTTATTTCATTACAATTTGTAAATTTACCAAACAAACCTAATATAGGTTCATGCATAGTGTTTGGAGTTTCTGGGAAAGTTATGCCAACCTATGCAGTCATTTACATATTTTGATATAATATTTGTTGTCATTCTTTATTATTTTTGATGATAGATCAAGTATTATTTTATTTTAAAAATAAATAATTTTTTTTGTCTATCATCAAGTTGCATTGTCCTTATTTAGAGGTCTTTTTCTGTAGTACTGTAGACTGAAGTAAGTTTATATTACATTTATAACCAGATTGCAAGCTCAAGTAGTGTTAACTTAGATAGCTGTGAAACCTTAATTATCAGTCTGCACATGCACGCATGAAAAATCTGGAAATTTCTTTGGAAGGTCAAAAGAAAAAATTTGGAAAGAATATGGCCACCCTGAATATTTGTCATCAAGTTTCCAGTACAATAAAAAAAAGATGCAAGTCAGAAAGATTTAAACTTGTGAACTCATAAGTGACCCTAGGTCCTGGTAAAAAGTCTGTAAGGTTTTAGTAGACATTCCATTTTTATAAGAAATAACCTTCAATTTCAGTTTTGATTAATTTCAATAATGGGGAAGGCTGTACCTTCTACACAACATTGAAGTTCTTTCAGTCTGGACAAAACCTTTGGATCTTATGGGTGAACCTCCAATAGCTGACAAACTGTCTAAGAAACAATTTCCTGGTGATAAGGTGAAAAAAATCTAAGGAAACATATAATGGACGAAATGAATAAGCAGGAAGATGATAAACAAGCATAAATGTAGATCATGAATTTTTTTTTTATTTGAAAGAAAAATGAGAGATATTTTTAAATGATGATGCCACCTGTTGCCTTTACATTTTGTCTTCAAATTCTATATTTATAATTTGTAATTTTTTGGGGCACATGAAGATGATCAGAAATATTAAATGATGCACAGTTCTCTATTTCCAGTGTCTGAAGAGAGAGAATCTCAAGTGCATATTTAGCCACAAAATCATATAAATTGAAACATATTACACTAAACTATACAAATTTCAGTTTTTTAAAGAAAGAGTGAAAATTCTCAACAAAAATACAGTGTTCAATTACCCATAAAAATAGGCTGTATTTGATAATTAATTGTGTCAATTTTGCATCTGATGCCAAGCAAGGCAGTTATTAGTTTTTGTCAAATTTGATAAATGTTTTGTAATATTGTTTTTTATATGTTGTATTATTTCTCAGTCATTAGAGTATATATATCATTTAATAGACCATTTTGTTGTATATTGTACAGTTGTTAAATTATGGGCAATTAAACTGGGCTATGAAAAAAATATTGTACAGTGCTACAGTCATTAATTTTTGTTTAAAAGGTTAATAAAATATTTATTTCTCTTTTTTTTTTATGAAAACTTTTACAGGTTATGAACTTTCAAAATTAGAGAGTACAGTTGGATCTCCTGAAAAACCTTTGTCTGATCTTGGAAAGTTGAGCTATAGAAGCTATTGGTCATGGGTTCTTTTGGAAATCTTAAGAGACTTTCGTGGTACACTCTCAATCAAGGACTTAAGGTACACTTTAAGATGCTGAATTTTATTAATTGAAACTCTAATTTAAAATGAAGACAATTCATTTTATGCAATGATGTCCGTCTTTATGAGAGAATCTATATTAAAACTACGGAAGAGAGTACATATATAACAAAACTTAAGTTGAACTATAATTCCAGATAAGAATACATAAAAATGGGATCATTTTCTTACACAATTCAACCTGTGTAGAAAGCTCCAGAAATTGATTTTTTACAGTTTAATTTTACCCCTATTATGATGTGTTTATGAACTTAAGTTGTCAAGTTCACACCTAGAATTAGATTTCAAAGCTTAATAAATAAAAAAATATTATTCTACTTCAGCAATGTTTCACTCACAAATATTTTAAAGATGACATTTTACCATTATATAATGTATATTTAGTGTATTTCATAAAACCGTATGTCTGCGGACTTACAACACTAGAATCTGGGTTTCATTACCCGTGGTGGGCAGAGCACAGATAGCCCATTGTGTAGCTTTGTTCTTAATTACAAACAAACCATAAAGAGAAATTTAAAAGAACTCTTCCAACTTCTATTTCTTTGAAGCTTCAAGCAGTATCATCTGTAAACAATGTGTTTACCAGTTTTATTTGAATTATTCTGCTTAGGTTTATATTTGAGAAAAAATTTACTTCATTTTATATCTTTTGAATACTTAGATGCTTTTCTAATCTTGTGTATTGGTGTGATGTTAAGATTGAAATAAGCATGCTCTACATGCTGTCAGAAATCAGTGTATGGGAAAAAATTAATTTGCAAAGTAGTCCATTCTGTCTTCCGTGCTAAGAAATTAGCACAGCTAATAGGTGAATAGCTTACTAAGTAATTAACAATAATATTTGTAGGATTTAAACTATTCTTGCTCATATATTCATCAGTGTATCAGGTATTTGCAACATATGCCCCACAAGGTGGTTTTATCTGGCCCTCAATGTGTTCTTAAACTATGATTGAGTCCAGCCCATGAACTACCCATCAACTCAAAATGTTTATTATATTATTATTATCATTTATTTTACCTAATTTAACCTTAGCTAATCTATAGATTTTCCTATTTTTACATATAATAATAAATAAAGAATACACATGAAAAACAAAGTAAATAAAGTACTTACCTGGGCCTTCTTTTTTTTTACTGTCACTGATACTTAACCCTACTTTTTTTATACTACTTTTATTGAGTTAAATAATGCACCAAAGAACATAGAATAATAACATGCAAAAAGAAGACAGTGTCCCATAACTATCACAACTTTTCTGACTTTCTAACTATGTACCAAGAGCCGTTACAAATTCATCCAAACTAGTCGAAACTTGTACTAGAAGAGAAATTGACAATTCTCTGTACAGAAAACAACATAATATATTACGCCATTTGATAGATGAGAACCTTTTCTTTAAATTGGTTATAAATAATATAATAAGAGAGAACTGTTAACAAATTCTGAAAGAGAGTGTGGGTGTGGCAAGAGGGGCCTGATTTTCTATTTGATGGCTCTATAACCAAACAAGATTGAAGACTAGGAAAATTATGATTTGTTTAAGTGATGATATTATAGTGAGTAATGTACGTTAAATTTTGTACTTATTGGAGGGTTGTTGCATAAATTAGAGAAGAGGGAATGCTTAGAGAAAAAATGTTACATTCCTCACACTAGGGGATTTTTTTTTAAATATTGCCTTATAAATTTAAGAAACTTTAAACTTATATAATATTAAACTATGGAGTATTAGCTATGATTTTGCTTTATACAATGTGGCTCACAAGTACACTTAAAAATTGATATCTGGCCCACACCTTGGAAGAGGTTGCATATGCCTGCTCTAAATAATGTCTTGTGGCAATATTCATAAACAAAGTATCATATTTTACTGAAGATTCATTCTTAACTTTAACACTAATCTGTAGTCACTGTAAAATGTGGGCAAAAAGAAGTGTAAGTAAATTATAGGGACTTCTCAAAGTAAAGAAGAATGTATAACAACATGTCAACCACATTATATCTGGTATATCCAGTGCTGACATGACTATTTATCTAATACCAATGTTCATCAGGCTCGTTAGGATATGACAAACGCAATAGTGGTTGAGAGACTAACTGTATTATCAAACTGCATAAACAACATTTATGGTATGAACTAGATTCAGTTGGTGAAGTGTAATTGTAATTTTTTAAGCTATTTACAGGTATTATGGGTAATGATTAATAACACACACTAATTATTTATTTTTACTTGAATTAATTTTACTCATCATTTAGAAGAACTGGTGAACCAAAAGACTAGTCTTATTGTTCCCAGAGCTGATCAACAGGAGAAAAATACATTGGTAATTGTAAGAACTTGTGAGCAAAAGTAAAGAAAAATTTATGACATTATTTCAACCGTACTGTATCCAGTGCCAATGAGACTTTTAGTCCAATACCAAGCTTCATCAATAGTAATTTTAAACTGTCCAGCAATATTTAATACAAAATAATTGAAGCTGTAATTGTCATAAATCAAGACAGCTGTGATCCATATGATGTTCTTGAGAATGTTAGTGGTGTAAAAAAAATTAAAGTATGCATGCATGTTTAATATCTACTTGATATTTGTTTTTTAGATTCAAGCATTGAAACTAAACTGTTTTAGTTGTCATAAAAAAAACCAGTAATAATCAATTGCATATATGAAAAACAGAGCATACATATCTAATACCATCTTTACTCAATCACTTGCCTATATCTCCTCCTTTCTAGCAGAATAAACATAACTAATGTGTTCATTTTTTGTTTTAATATTTCTTTTTACATATCACAGCAAGGAGAAAAGAGTGTCTAGCAACAAGTATAGTAGACACTCCTAGAATGAAGAAAGTGTTTGTATTCACTTGGATCAGAGCGAATAATAATTTTGTCATTTCTTTGTAGTCAAATGACCAGCATCACACAGGGAGACATCATTAGTACATTGCAGAGTCTGAACCTTGTAAAGTATTGGAAGGGTCAACATGTAATTTGTGTCACTCCCAAGCTGGTTGAGGAACATTTGAGAAGTGCCCAGTACAAGCGACCAAGATTGACTGTGGATTCAGAATATCTTCGTTGGTGTCCACCCAGAAAACATATGAAAACTGGAAAAAAGTAAACTTGAGATTGCCGAAGTGATCAGTGATGAATGAACTGTGTTTTTTGTTTCTTCAATTATAGTAGCAATGCTTAGAACAACAACTGGAATCGGTGAAAATTGAAAGAACAAAGAAAAATAATTCATAAATGTATATAATAATTCAATATATCATTTAAATGTGACTTGAAGCATGAGAAAGACATCATTGTACATATTATGCAATAAACAACAACTGATCGTTTCAAGAAGTAATTAAATAAATTTTATAACAAATAAATGTTTATTTTATGATGCCTGAAATAAAAAACAAACAAGCAAATTGAGTTTAACGGCAATGCATTACACAACTACTGCTACTGAGACGTAGCTTCCAAAGGTGATCTGAGAAAGTTACCAAAGTACTGTTGTATTCTGAATACTGTAAATGAAAGGTGTTACAACATGATATTTTCACTCAGTACCTTGTGTTTATTGATTTTCCAGCATTAAACTCCTTCATGTATGCTTAGCATACTCAGAAAACATTTAATTTTTCAGAAGAATGATGATGTGTACTTAATTAATAAAAGGCAGTAATAAAAACTATTAAATGTTCAGAATTTACCAAAAAGTATCAGGAAATATTTTATACTAAGTTACTAGTATCCTTCAAAGGCTAAAGTTCTATCTATAATCCACTGGTATAAGGGGACTTACGAACTCAATGCTTGCTTTCCCAGGCACAACATATAGGCTCTTGTCTTAAGACCAGCTCAAGTAATGCTTGATTGTTAAATAAAATAAATTACAGGGTGGATAAAAAGTTCGGGCACCCCTTTTATTTAAAGCACATGTTAACAGTTTAGTTTTTTGCATTTTAGTAATGATTGTGGCAAAGGTAATGATTGTGTAAACAACTGACACTTTGAAACAAAAAATTTGTTGAAAGTTTCACTAAGGTCACCCCTAATATGCTATGGAGGATGTCTCATTGCACGTGGAAACATATCATCCATGTCATGAAAATGAAGACCAACAATCAGACATTTTGGATTATTAATCAAACATTTTGTTACTCTCTGGCAATGAGATATGTCAATATGCAGTAAATTCTTTCTTTCATGCACACTATCTATTTGAGTGGGGATGACCAGACTTTTTGCCCACCCTGTACTTTATGTATCATGCAAGCTGACATTTTATACTAATTTTTCAGTAAATAACTTGTAACAGACCATTTCATTAAAGAAATTTCATATTTATTTTAGAAAAGGTAAAATAATGAGCAAGGAAACAATAACTAGTTGGTAAAGCTTTGTTTTTTTACATAATTTATACATACATAAATGCGTAGCATTGAATTTATTATGGATTTACATAAAGAACTCATATTTGGTCTTAAAACTGTGAACTTATTGGGCAATGTTCAGAAAAACCAATCTTCATTGCCAGTGGAGAAAAATTGCTTTAAGAACAACTACCCTCTTTGATGAATTGGGAAAACTGTATGGAAAAAAATAAAATTGAGTATCATAGGAAAAGTAGAAAGAGTTCTATAAATTACTATATATATTTTTGTGTTTTCAGTTTAACAATATGCACTAAAAATTAGATGTAGTGATGAAAATTAATCTATTGAATTATCTATAGCCTTCCAACTACATAACACATATTAGTTGGTTCAGAATTGCATGTGCCTCTTGTAAGAGATACAGATCATTGTTTACAATAAAATAATTATAAAATGAATAAATGAGAAATCATGTTTTGGGGAATTAACACAAAGGAAGTTTTTTTTACTTTCAGATTTTTTTGTTTATATCTTGTAATTATCAATCTGAGTGATATTTATGGTATAAGTAATAGTTTGTAATGCTTTGTTTTTAGTTTCATTTGGCCAATTTAAGCAGCTATTGAATTATAGTTAGTATCACTCCATATAGAACATTGTCCAACAGTCTAAACTTTCTGATGTTGATTTCTATATTTAAAGTAAAATATTAAAATTTTTTTTTACTGTAATATTGTTGTTCTAGACTATGTTAAGATTGGTCTACAACTCCTCTGTTCGTATTGTAATAATACACAAGGATACAGTTCAGTGACTATATTGACTGTGTTTATTTTGACGAGTGAACAAACCAGTATGTGGATATTGACAAAAGATGGTGAAGGTGCTTAAATACCAATCTGTATAACTTCAACTTACTTTATAATAAATTATTCAAAAAATTTTGTAACTATAACTTAACTTTATGGAATCATTATGATAATGCACTGAAGCCAATAATTACCAGTTACACTATATCATCATCCAGTAATTATAGGCCTGTTTGTCTTACATTAGCTGTGGGAAAAGGTTTGGAACTTCTGATAGAAGATGCCTTGCAAAATCATTTAGCAAAGTTTAGAATTTTATTGGATAGTCACTAAGGGAAGATCTTGCCTTACTAATCTTCTGACATTCTTTGAAAAGGTTACTGCATGTATAGATGAGGTGTATCTGGATTTTTCAGAAAGCATTTGACAGTATTAAAGATAATACACTGTTAAGGTTATATCCATCCAAATTATACTTATAATTCAAATTATGTAACCCACATGCATTGTCTTGCACTTATTATAAATAAAACTTCCAACTGCCATTTATTCACCCAACTCACCAAATGATCTAAGTCCTTTTGTAAAGCAGCAGCATTCTTTTCACAGCCAGCAACACCAAATACCTTAATATCATCAGCAAATTTAAGTAATTTATTGACACTTTCTTCACCCATATCATTGATGTAAATCAAAAAGAGCAAAGGTCCTAAGACTGAGTCCTGAGGTACCCCGCTTGTGACATTAATCCAGTATGTCTGAACTCCATTTATAAGAACTCTGCTTTTTTCCATCTAGCCACTCTTCTATCTAATAAGCTAACTTATCTTCCACACCTATAGAGAGAATATTTTGTACAAATACAAGCCTTTTATGTGGCACCTTGTCAAATGCTTTCTGAAAATCCAGGTACATCAGATCTTTAGCCTTACCCTCATCTGCATAAGCAGTAACCTTTTCCCATGTTTGTATTTTATCCTGAAGAGCCCTGGTTTTATGGCTGACATATTATTATACACTGTTCTTTACTTTCACTTAAGGGTTCGTATTAATAACTAATTAATATCAGTCAAGTGTGATCTGAAATAGAGAGCATTTAAAGAAATACTGCACTGTTATCAAAGAGAGAACCAATATGTATAATAAGCAGTAATTCCATTAAATATAAAGAGATATACACCTGGAAAAAGTTAAGCACCCCCAAATATTTTTCAGGATTGCTTATTGAAAATAAGGTTTAATTTTCTATGATGTTGAGCAATGTTCATAATTTCAAACATAATTAAAAGGATGTGAGCGTTCAGGTGTGACATTTAAATCAGGCGTCGTTTTTTTCCCACG